ACAACTATAGAAAGATAATCGTATATCTCTCTCAAGTTGTAGAATCTTCTTTCTTTCTTTCTTTCTTTCTTTTCTCTCTTTTCTTTTCTTTTCTTTCTTTTCTTTCTGCTTATTTCTTTTCTATTTCCTCTGTCCTTTTTGTCGACGTCATCATCTTTTAGTTTTTCTTTGTTCACTTCCCAGTAACAGCTCACAGCCATTCGCTTGTGAAAGCCAAATCCCTTCTGGTCTTTAAAGCAACCAGACTTTTAAAATAACCACAGATCGGTTCTAAAAATGAATTTAAAAAATTCAAATCTTTACTTTCTCCCATCGGTTAAAAATTATAGAATGTATCTCATTAACCGACGCTTGTTCATAAACTTTATTTGGGTAGATTTTCAGACTATCAGACTTTAGCATCATTTTTTTTATAACTTTTTGATAACCAAATCTATACATATATCTTAGTTTAAACAAGTCAGGCTTCATTTCGGCGGGTTTTTTTTTAAATCAAACAAATTTTACGCATGAAATTTTATTCGACCCATTTTTTACTAACCGTCTGGTTTCATTTTTGCAGTTAACCGTGTTAGTAATTTACTTCTATTAATAAATGTTTTTAAACACTCCTTAAAAAAAAGTGTAATCTATAGTATCCTAGTATTCATTTTTTTATTTACATTTTAATTATTTTCAAATAAGTTTTCTTTTTTTTATATATATATATATATTGTCATCCACCGACAAACTGTTTCGTTGTATCACAGCTCATCAGTGTGGCAAGACGTCCGGTTGGCCCCAACCAGGATCGAAACCCGACTGAATTGGCGTCAGTCGTGGATTCTACCATAAGCCGTTGGCGCACGGCAGGGATGAAGGAGAATTTAAGCGCATTTATTTTTCGATAAACACACAGTGGCTGAGAGAACTCGATTCGATTTATCAAACGAAGAGTCTTGCATTATTAACCGTAAAAGTCACTGTTTACAAACCCACACTTCCTCCTCAGAGAGCTCAACCGAAATTAATTTTTCAGGAGCATATATATTGTCATCCACAGGCAGACTGTTTCGCTGTATTACAGCTCATCAGTGTTAAATTTTTATAACGTGCTAAACTGTATTCCTTCGAAAAATGTCGAATTGATTTTTTTTAAGCTGTCAATCGTTCACTCGTTCATTTTCTTTTCTTTTCTTTTTGAATCCTTACACTCCAAGCAAGGCAATAATGCCACTAAGACGCATGGAATTACAGGACATGAAAGAGAATGTGAGGTGAACGTCAATGAAGGAACAGGATTCAGGAAAACAGAAGATGACGCTTAACGGTGCATTTAAATTCTTGAAGATTGTAGTTATCAGGAAAGCAAGAAATCCTGAGTTTCACGGGTGAGAAGTGCGAGAAAAAAAGGGGTTTTAAAATAGAAAAGACGGTTGCATCTAGCTAGTTCAACGGTAAAACTGTGAGACATAGTTGCCAATCTAGTAGCAGGCTTAAATTCATGCAGCCGAGTCATCAGAGGAAAAAGCTCATCAGAACAGTTGCTATAAAAATACCTGTAAAAAAGACAGAGGGAAGCCACGTCACGTCGTCGATGAGAAAGTGACTAAAGTCGAAATGGTTGGTCAAGATTGATAACATTACTGATCCGTCTTTGCATTTTGTCACTACTAAGTATACCTACTAAATATATATGCCGATGATGCAACTATTTACCCCTGTTTTAACAGTAAGTGACTTACAATCCGTTGTTAACTGGGGCAAGGAATGGCTTGCTAATTTTAACGCCTCCAAAACAAAACGGTTCTCTATTAATCGTCTGAGAGAACAGTTTCTGCCATGAGAGTGACTCGTTTCACCTTCTCGGGTTAACGTACCCTTCCCTTCTCGGGTTAACGTGAAACAGCAAGTTACCGACCTAAAGAGTTTGTATGAATTTATTTTTTTAATCGATTTCACCTCAAGCAAGGCAATAAAGCCACTAAGACACAAGTGGTTTCTGGGTGTGGAAGAATTAGAAAACATAAATACTGCTAAGAAACAAAAACAAAAGAAGAGTAATCAGAAGGAGAGTAGATAGCGATTGACATTGCATTTAAATTTTTGGAGATTAAAGTTGGCTGGAAAGCATGGAGCCGGAAAAGAGTTCCACAGGCGATAAGTGCGAGAAAAGAAACAGCCTAGCACTGCAGGTTACATGGAATCAACTCATCTATTTATTGGTGAGATCTCGTTACCAGTCTAGCACTGCGCTTAAATTCAAAAGGTCTAGGTAATATTTACCAACCTCCCCATATATTTGTTTGCAAATACCCCTGAGAAAGGCATGAATCTAACTCTTCCCTGTAGCTACGGGTTAATTATGACTTGTATCGCTAAATCATTATTATCTCGCAGAACAGTTCTGACAATGTAAAGATATTTTCTGGTTTTAAATAACCTGCAAAGGGTTGATAAACCGTAAAGAACGAATCAAAACAAACAAAAAAAAGTTAAGTTTGAAACTATGCTATCACTGATATCTGCATATTTTTTATTTTCTGTATTTAAAAACGTTTTAAATTTTTTTTGAGAGGGGTGGAGTCGGAAGCACTTAGACAAAAATTGTGGGATAATATTTATTTTAAATGAAGAATAAACGAATAGATAGATAGATAGATAGATAGATAGATAGATAGATAGATAGATAGATAGATAGATAGATAATGAACAAACTGGGATTGTATAAACAGATAATGAACAGACTAGGATTAGATAGATAGATAGATAGATAGATAGATAGATAGATAGATATGCACATTTCATTGAATACGACAGACAAGGTGTTTGATTGCGTTTTTTATACAATTTCTCATGTGATCTAATAATTTTTTTCGTTTCAGATGATAAATTATATAAAAACTGCCCGATTGTTCTTTTTATCCGAACGCTTTCGGCAATACATTTAGCCATTTTCAAAACTGAAATATATTAACTGTTAACAAGAAATTTTTTTTATATGTTTGTATGTATTTATAAAAAGTTTTCATTTAAAAACACGGTCACGATACCGTGTCCATGTTCATATTTGATATTATATTTCTACAATTTATCATCTGAAAAAGAAAAAAATTATTAGATCATATGAGAAATTGTATAAAAAACTAAAAGCAACTTATCTGTCATATTCAATGAAATGTGCATGAAAGGATTGCTGCCTAAATACACATATATATATATATATTCTTTATTTAAAAATATATATACAGGGTGTCCATGAAGTCTCTTTACAATTCAAAAATATTATTACAAAAGTAAATATGTGGAAATTGTTACAAAATGAAGAGGAGATATTAAAGTGTTTCAGAATTAATTCAACCCACCTCTATATGGGCGCCATTAATTGTAGGAAGCACATCAAGACCGTACTCGATTTCTTGCCATGTTTGAGACTTCATCAATGGTGGCAATGGCATCAGTGACATTTTGCTTTAGATCAATGATGTCCCGTACCTTTGGTCGATACACGATATCTTTAACATAGCCACATAGAAAGAAAGCTAGGGTAGTGATATCTGATGATCGAAGCGGCTAAAGAATTAGGCCATTCCTTCCAATACACCGGCCTGGAAATGTTAGGTGTTCATTTAACAGTACCTCTTTCATCAACAGTGTACCCTGAAATACAAAATGCATTGTGATTAGAAAAGTTTGATAACTACTGAGCACATAAAACAAATCTGATTAAGATATCTCATTGATGTAATGAATATGCATACACCTGGGTTCCCTCTCACAGTAATATGATTGGCTGGTGTCAGCCATAAATACAGACTGATGTGGAGGTACATGACTACGCCTATTGTCTTCGCCTATTGCCTACCACTACAAAGAGGACCAGTCCTTTATGGTTACCTGCTAGATTGTCCTATCCGGTTACAGTAGTCAACAACCGCTTTGCTACTTCGAACGAATATATCCCTTTTCGGGACATATCACTTATCAATTGCCTTTGTAATATATTTTTTTAAATTGTAAAGAGACTTTATAGATACCCTGTATATTTTCATTTTTTTTCTCTCCTCCATCCAGACTTTCTTTGTGTTAAGGTGTTAGTACAGGGTGTCCAAAAAGTTGCTTTACAATTTTAAAAATGTATTACAAAAACAAATGAATAGACAAATATGTAGAAATTGTTACAAAATGAGGAGTAGATATTGAAGTTTTTTTGACTAATTTAATACACCTGAACATTAGTTGCACAAAGCACATCAAGGCGACACTCGAAATCTTGCCATGTTTTCTGTAACATAGCCTCATCAGTGGTGGCAATGACATCAGTGATCTTTTGCTTTAGATCAGTGATGTCCGTATTTTTGGTCGACACACGATATCTTTAATATAGCCACATAGAAAGTCCTCCAGGGGAGGGGTATCTGATGAACGAGGTGGCCAGGGGATTGGGCCATCCCTTCCAATCAACCGGTCTGGAAATGTTAGGGGTTCATTTAACAGTACCTCTTTCATCAACAGGGTACCTGAAATATAAAATGCTTTGTGATCAGAAAACATTGACAGCTACTGAGTATAGACATCCTGTATATTTTCATTTTTTTTTCTGTCGTCCATCTTGACTTTCTTCGTGTTAAGGTGTTAGTACAGGGTGTCTATGAAGTTGCTTTACAATTTAAAAAATGTATTACAAAAACAAATGAATAGACAAATATGAAGAAATTGTTACAAAATGAGGAGTAAATAATGAAGTTTTTTGACTCATTTAATACACCTGACCATTAGTTGCACAAAGCACATCAAGACGACACCCGAAATCTTGCCATATTCGCTGTAGCATAGCCTCATCAATGGTTTACCATTTGGCGCAAGTGCCTGTAAGATATGCCCTTTGCATTTTGTAAGCGTACAATCACAAGTTCTTTTGTAGGACTTTTTATACTGTTGAACGTGGCAGTTGTAACTGTCTGGCACCAGTATGGATAGACATTGTAGGAGAACGCTGAAAGGATTGTCTTAAACGATCGATGTTTTCCTCATATCTTCTTGGTTGTCCACATCTTCCTTTATCCAACACTGTATCTGTCTCCATAAATTTCTCGTGCCATGCACGAACTGACGGACGTGATGGAGGATCTTTTCCATACTTAGTTCTGTAGTTTCGCTGAGTCTGTGTATCCGATTTTGTTCCAAAAACCATGACACACATTGTACCTTTTCTTGAGGAGTAGCCATTTTTAGGGGTTCATTTAACAGTACCTCTTTCATCAACAGGGTACCATGAAATACACACATACAATGGGATTAAAAATCTTTGATAACTACTGAGTACACAGAACAAATCCGATTAAAATATCTCATCAACTGACTTTGTAATATATTTCTTAAAATTGTGAAGATATTTTATGGACAGCCTGTACATATAATTCTAAAGTTATGTTTAAATTAAATTCATAATAAACCTATACATACCATATAAGACGTAGGGGAACTTTAAGATTTATTTTTAGTAAAAAAAGTGCGCCTTATATGCCGTCAAATACGGTAATTTAATACACCTCTATAAGGGCATCATTAGTTACACGAAGCACATCATGACGGTACACGATTTCATTAATTCTGATGGTTTAAAGATTGAAAATTTAATAATTGTTTCTCATTAAAAATTTTTAAAAAATTCTTTACTCATCGAAATTTTTTTTCTTAAAACAATAGCGCCCTTAAAGTCCCTTTACAGTTTCAAAAAATTATTACAAAAGCAAATGAACAGACAAATACGTGGAAATTGTTACAAAATGAGGAGTAGATATCAATGTTTTTTAAATGAATTTAATTCACCTCTATATGGGCGCCATTAGTTGCACGAAGTACAGCAAGAGGGTACTCGTTATCTTGTCATGTTCGGTGTAGCATAGCCTCATCAACGGTGCCAATGGCATCAGTGATATTTTGCTTTAGATCTTTAGTATTTTTGGTCGATACAGGATATCTTTAATGTAACCCCATCGAAAGAAGTCCAGGGGAGAGATCTCTGGTGAACGAGGTGGCCAGGGAATTGGGTCATCCATTCCAATCCACCAGTCTGGAAATATTAGGGGTTCATTTAACAGTACCTCTTTCATCAACAGGGTACCCTGAAATACACAAATGCAATGTGATTAAAAACTTTGATAACTACTAAGTACATAGAATAAATCTCATTATTTCTTAACTGCCTTTGTAATATATATTTTTAAATTGTATAGAGACTTCATGACAACCTGTATGTTTGTTTGTTCCTTATTTAAAAGAAATGTTTTTGTAACAAAAAAGACTTTTTTTCGACGTTATACCAATGACGTCCTGAATAGCGAAACGCGTCACACGTAAAAACTTGTACTCATTGTCATTGATTTTCCTTATACTCTATAGATAAACAAGAGTTTCTTTCTAAATGGATAAAAATTCAATATTTTTGATACAGACAAATGTCGCAAATAAAGGCAGATTAATCTACAAAAACTATTCCCCAAAACAATTTCTCTTTAATCGTTAATTTCGACGACACAGGCTGGAGACAGACAAAGCTCCCTTTGAGTTTCGGAGGCCTGGGCCTTCGATCAGCGGTAAATTTGGCTCTTCCAGTATATCTTTCTTCACTTTCGTCCAATCACGAATTAATTGATGAGATACTCGGTGGATCGTCTCAGTGTTTTTCGGGCAGTTCTTTCGAACAAGCTTGCAGCGTCTGGGCCCAAGAACTACTTTCTCTCCCACTAGACACATCAAAACAAAAAAGCTGGGATAAAATAAAATGCGAGGCTAATTTTACTAATTTGAGGCTCTCTCTGGATCAGCATCGCCTCGCCTGTCTAATATCTGCTTAACAACCGAGTAATGGCGCCTGGCTCAACGCAGTGCCCTCTTCATCTACCGGTACCCTTCTAGATGATGAGTGCACTCTGGTCGGAGTCGTGATCCGTCTTGGACTCAAATTATGTGAGCGTCACAGATGCAGATGTGGAGCTTCCATCGATGAGCTTGGTTTGCATTCTCTCTTCTGTCGTCGTAGTGCCGGCAGCTTTCCACGGCATGTAGCCATTAACGACATCATCAAAAGAGGTTTGAATGCAGCTGGGTTCCCTTCCCAAATCGGACCCGTAGGCCTCGACCGTGGTGATGGAAAGCGGCCGGGTAGCATTACCATTTTCCTTTTTAAAATGGGGAAGTCGTTGATTTGGGATGCAACCTGTGCAGATACATTTTCGGTCGGTAATTTAATCAGGTCCGCGGTTGAGCCGGGATCTGTCGCCCGGGACGCAGAGATGAAAAAAATAGTTAAATATTCTTCTCTTGCTGATAGATTATTTTTACTCCTGTGGCAGTGGAGACTTCAGGGTTTATTGGTCTTAGTTCGATGGCGTTCCTTCGGAGGATTGGCGCGATTGCGTCTCGATTAAGGGACGAGCCTCGCGAAACGGAGTGGCTCTTGCAGCGTGTCTCACTGGCGATGGTTCAAGGTAATTCTTTCTCCATCATTGCGGCTGGCAGAGGATAGAAAAAAATTGTTTATAGTTATTTTGTTCAAACTTTTTTTCAATAAATAAATTTCTCATTGATAAAAAAAAACTTTCTCTTTATGTATTTTATTTTTTGAAGACACCATTGCCAGAAATTGCGTACCATTATGTGGTGTATAAATTGTCGTTTAAATCAGTGCTACTCAAAGTGGTTGTCCACAGACCGGTGCCGGTACGCGATCCATCAGCTACCGGTACGCGGACAGTGTCTATGCTAAGGAATCATTTGAGGCTTATTTTCTTACTACTTTTTATATGTTTTGATATTGAATTATTTTTTGCAAAATAAATGGAAGATAAAAAAACAGATAATTTTTATTATATTCATTATATGTGTGTGTGTGTGTGTGTGTGTCAAATTGGGTAAAAATGTGTGTGTTGTGTGTGTGTGTGTGTAGGTAAGATGAGAATTAATATTGTACAATTCCGTGGGCTCCATAAAAAGTCGACCAATATTCTTTAATTTAGTATATTGAATTCTGAAAACTCGCCAGTAATTTACAATCCTCTGATGAGATGCATTGATACTCATCGAAACACGACTGCAATTGTGAAGCGATTTTGAGATGTTAAAAAAAGTATAAAACCCTTTATATATATATATATATATATATATATATATATATATATTGATAATATTAGTGGTTGATACACACGCACGCACACACACACACATATATATATATATATATATATATATATATATATATATATATATATATATAAAATACATATACATACATTTTGAACACATACCTATATATATAAAAATTTCAAAGAGGGTAGAATCCAGGTAGAACTCAATGTCCAGGACAGAGTAAGAATATCATAAAAAGGCTTAAACACTAATATTCCATGGTTATAATTTATTACATTGGAATCCAATTCATCAGACCTACAAATTCAATTTCTCGGTCTGATTAATTGGATCGTATTTACGATTCCAATGTAAAACCATGGGATATTAGTGTTTAAGCATTTTTAGTTTTTATCATATATATATATATAATGGACAAAATAAAAAAGCTATAAACAACGCGTTTCACCGAACGTTTCGACTTCTTCCGGATAGGATAAAAGACAAAACTGTGTAAGGAAAATGTGTTGTGGTCTGTGGGGATAAGAGAGGCTATAAATTAAATTACCTTATCAAATAAGGCATCGTTTATAGCTTTTCCATTTTATCTCGTCATCTTCTTGTTTCGGATACTACACCACAAACACACACACATATTTCATTGTGCTTTTACCCGAGTGAAGGGCGGAGTTTCTGAACCCACCAATTCCGCGCTTGGCTGACGAAACTGACCGGCTAAAGTTTAAACAGACTACTAAGAAAGTGTCACACGCTCGCTGATAGGGCACGGGTCGAAGCCACCCTGAATAAAGAAAGAGGAAATGAAATATTGGACAAAGAAAAGTTAACTGGGTCATTTTGAACGGTGACATACTTTAAGTAGGCCTTTTAAAAAAATGGATGTATGATAAGAAAATATTTCTTGAAAGAGTGTGGCAGTTGTTGGTTTGTGTAAACATTACGTTTAACACGGTCACACTAAAACACTAACGCCGGCCCTTTAATTAAATATATATCTTCAACAGGTTTTTGTTGTTTTTTTTAATTTTTTTTACAGGCTTGGTCTTAAAAGAAAACTGAAAAAACATTCTTTCAGTTTTATTGCCTTTCCGGCAGATTTAAATTCTATTCTAAATTGAAACTAAAGTAAAAAGCTTTAAAAATACTTTTACTTGTAAAAGTCTAAACAGATGGGAAAATACGATCTATTTTTTTCCTAAATCTGTTTGCTTCCTCCACTCAAAACCCACGTGAAAATCCACGTCCGGTTGCGGTGGTCGTAATAGTAGCAGTTTAAAATGATCTGTATTGTTGGAGTAGTTTGTGTGGCTTAAGCGTGGACAAAGGACAGTTATTTTAGGTAGTTTTTTGTTTTCTTTTTTTGAGTTTTTTTTTCTGTTTTGTTTTTTGCTTCATAAGCATTTATTTATGGGACGGTGACGACAGTTCAAGATTTTATTTTAATCCGCTTCTTTTTCTCATCTCGGATATTTACAAATTATTAATAGTTTAAAAACGGATTCGATTTTTTCTTTCTTTCTCTAGGTAAGTTAATTTTTTTTAAGTTTATTCTTTGTGTTCACTCTGTCATAACTTCGATAAGCTGATTTAAGTTCTGTAATTGTGAATTCGACAATTGGTAATGAGATGTTTTTCGATACTGAAAAAAGTATTTTTTTGTACTAGTATCTTTTTACAATTTTCACAATTTTTACATTTTCATGTTTATTTTCAAACCTCTCTCTCTCTCTCTCTCTTCTCAACTTTATCAACCAATATGATACTACTATTCAAATGGCCACTTGTTAGTTTTCATTTGTATATGTATGTATGTATGTATGTATTTAGGCAGCAATCCTTCATTTATATATGTTTCATTCAAGATGACAGACAGGGTACTGCGATTAAGCTTTTTATTTTTTTATTTTATTTTTTTTCTTGTGTTCAAACAAGTGTTTTCTTTTCTGTATACAGAGTGTGTGGAAACTGCTCCATTAGAACCCATTATGATTAAAGTAAACACACACACACACAAACTTACCAGACTCCATCCGAAACATACTAGTAGAAAATACAAACATAATAACCTCATCCACGTATAAAAGAAAGTTTAAAAACAATGGAAGCCTTAATGATAAAAAAGAAAAAAGCCAAGGCTCAATTATATTAATTCCGAGCACGGCCACAATGTGATAGCTGTGTTCGAAAAATAAAACATCCCTATAATTCTAGAGACATAAGCACAATCCATACACCCAATTAAAAAGTAAATATAAAATCATCCTTGATAATGGCTAAACGTATAGCCGAAAGCGCTCGAAATTACAGAATATATGGGCAGTTTCTACACACTCTGTGTCCGGAAAAGAAAACACTTGTTCGAATACAAGAAACATTAAATAAGAGGCTTAAATCACGGTGCCTTGTCTGTCTGCTTTAATGAAACAGATACACACACATACACACACACACACACATACATCATATATAGATAGATAGATAGATAGATAGATATAGATAACATATGAAGACACAGAAATAAAAATACGTCCAAAACTCTAAAGCCGAAAGTAACCAGATATTGGAGAATATTAGAAATCACGAAAATATTCGGAAATGTACAAAAAATAAATAAAAGTCCTTAAAGAACTTTCATTATTTTTTCAAGAAATATATATATATATATATATATATATATATATATATATATATATATATATATATCTGGTAGTAATAATTGTTGGTATAATCCAGGCAAGTTCTAACTTAAACACAACATAGAATTTGAAATTTGTTTAAAAGTAAAACTGACTCACAAAAAGAACGCTCAATATTTATTTTCAATTACAGATCAAATTTTCTTTACAATGGGAATTACGATACCTTTAGTAAATGACCATTTTCACCTACGAATTTTATTTTTAAATTCGCATGATTTTTCAAACTGTTTAGTGTTTATGATATCAGTTCGTAGTGCCATATATATATATATATATATATATATATATATATATATATATATATATTATAAATTAATTTATTTAAAATATGGTTTTTATTCCGCTACACAGTTCTAACCATGTTTCAAAAATGGAAGCTAAAAGCCACGAATTTAATTTTGTAATTAAAAACATTTAGTTCCATTTCATCCTCAAGCGAATTTTGGAGTAACTTTTAAAATTACTGGGTTTTAAAGACAAAATTTCCAAAATCCTGTTTCCATGGTTACAGATAAATCTACTTCAATTGGACACGGGTTGTCTGGGTTTTCTATATGTCTGTATCATTGTATCGGTTATTTTTTAGTTTTTCGTGGTACAGAATTTAATAATAGATAGAAAAAGACAATATTTATAAGGCATTTTAAAAGCAAAAAAAAAATAAAACAACCGGTTTCGTCCCAGGACTTATCAAGTTTATTTATTCTGGGAATTTAAAAAAGCGTGTAAATTAATTTTAATTAACGAATGTAATCGAATGGGGAAAAAAATTATGAGTCCAATAATATTCAGACCCAGCAAACATTCCCTCCGTTTACAAAGGGGAAGGCACAAAATGCCTTATAAATATTGTCTTTTCCTATCTATTATTATTATTTTAAGATCACATTAAGAGAATCTGTTAGTAAGTTTCTATAGTTTTTCTGAAATCGGTCTGTTTTTTGCTTTTCTATTTTTTGTTTTTTTAACATTTAAGCGCTTTTTAATTATTCTTTTTAACTTTTTTTTATAATATTGGTTTGATTGATCTATCTACATTTTGATATTTGCATAAAAAATGCACATGTAGTACAAAGAAAAGTGATCAATGTCAAATGCAGAACCTTAAAAAAATTAATAATAAAATACAGAGCCTTAAAGAAAATAATAATGTTTCTCCTCTTTTTTTAACCCTCCGCTATTCTCATTTCCTTTGTTTCTTTTTTTTTTTTTTCTTTTTATTGAATGTTGGTACACTTTTCGATACTTCTACTGCCTTCATCAGCCAAATATTTCGTTTGAATTCAAGTACAAATATGAAAAAAATGCTATAAAACTTCAAACTATAACTTCTGAACTGTTAAAAACTTCTTCCTTTAAATCTACATATAATAAGTATAAAAGTGGTACTATAGTAATAAATGTTATTGATATGTTTGTATAATCAATGCAATACTTTTTTACACTGTACTTTTTTTTCATATATGTGTATCACTTCCGTTGAATTTTCATCAAAATGAAAGTAAAGTTCGTGTTATTTATCAGTTACTGATCGAAGTTGCTTGAAGAAAAGTTCGGGGTGACTTCATTGTCTGTTCACACCGTAACCTTTAAAAAAACAAATTAAAAACACAACAAACCTGTTATTTTTTCCCCAATGTCATCACTGTGAAAAAGTAGCGATTGGATAATAATAATACTCGAAAAGAAAGTCGTTTGACGTGTCGTCACGGCTGACAGCAGGATACGCCATGTCGGGTAACACATTTTCTATAAATATTATCAATTAACTTTAACAAGTGTTAAATTTTAGAAAAAATTAAAAATCAAAATAGAAAGAAAATATTTTTTTTTTTAAAGAGTTTTAAAATTTACCGTACACTTTTATTCTGAAACAGTGTAATTTAATTTTTAAAGCAACAGGTACAACTAACTAATACTTGTTTCTTTTCTTTTTTTTTTTTCTTTTTTTTTTCAACCTCTTGACCTGACCTCGCCTTTATAATCTCATCTCAAAGTGTTTGGTTTAGAGACGAAATTAAACAAAAATCTTTTCTTTTTAGGTGTTTCCATCTTTTACTACTACAATTTTGATTATTTTTATAATTGTTGTTTGCTTTTATTGTTACAACTGTTCAAATACGCAACTAAATTCACTTTTTTAACCAGACGTCGAAATTTCCGTTAGAAAAAAAGTGGGTGATTGATAACGCGTTACGAGTTTTATGACAGCTGAGTCATATAAAACAATTTAAAACTGTTTTCTAACATCAGTTTAAAAAGTATCGACCTATTGGTTGATGCTAAGCATTCCTGCAAACTATTTTTAAAAATCAATCTAGATTTAAACAGGGATTGAAAGGAGTATCCGTAAAGAAAAGCATTATTTTATTTATTTATATCCAGGAGATTTCGATCTTGTTTGATTTGCTTTAGTGTCCAACAAATTATCCTTGTTGTTGAGAGGACACTCAATCAGTTACAACAAAATACAAGCTAAAAAAATATCAAATCTAATTAAAAACAGCGTGTAAAACTAATCCGGAATAAAAGCTTAAGTTAACTGTCAATATGGTCGGTGTTTAGTCGTTTCAAAATATTGTATGAATTTAAATAACAGTGAAAATAATGTTCATATTTTTTTAGACCATACATGCCACTGGCGTCATTTTTAAAACTAATTCCCTTTTTATCTCTTTTTCTATAATTATAAATCAATTTCACTGAAACATGTTGGGAAATTTCCACGTTTTCATCTGAAATCAAATAAATGCGAATTTTATGCAAAATAGTATAAAAAAATATATATAATAATAATACGGTGGACTGAGGAATCGGAGAGCCGAGTTCGAATTCCAGTCGAATCCATTACATTCACCTACATGCTAATACCCTCGGGAACGACATGAATCCTCTTCTTCTAGCAAGCAAATAGCAGGACAGACGAGGTTCTATAGCCTTGGATGGCAACTGGTCTACCCCAAAAAGAAATGGCAACCTACTGCGGGAAAAATAATCTGTCTCGTCAGTCATGTATCTTTCGATACATGATCGCCTACGCGTGTATCACGCATGGCAAATAATTGACTGACTATAGGCGAATTTTTTTTTTTGGGGGGGGCAGAAATTAGTTGCTTTTAGAATAAATTTAATTTAAAAAATGTATAGACCTGACATCGTCCTAAAAAATTGTAACGAGTCGTCCCAAATTAATGTCCTATCGTCAACGGGACAAATGAACGACATTAATCTGAACTACTTTGGCTTGTTATTTAGAAGGGAAAAATATCTACACCGTACAAATTTTAATTCGGAATTATATCAACATAGTAAAACATATTATAACATATAAAGAAAATGTAATTAAAATATAAAAAAAACTTCTTTTTTTATATAATCCAGCGATAAACAGCATGTACATCGGCTCCAAATTTTAATTTGGAATGATATCAACATAGTAAAACATATAACATGACAAAGAAAATGAAATTAAAATATAAAAAATATTCTTTTATTTAGACACTAGCGATAAACAACTGGTCTACCGCAGAATTAAATGACAACCTACAGTGGGAAAAAATCTGCCTCGTCAGTCATGTATCGAAAGATACATGATCGCCTAAGCATGTATCGCGCATGGCACATCACTGATATAGAATAATAAGTCACAGTATAAAATAATAAGTCACAGTATAAAATAATAAGTCACAATATATAGAAAACAAAGAAAGCGTCAATTTAATTTTTTTAAGGTAATGAAACTTCAACCTAAACTATTTAAATAACTGAACAATGTTTAAACTTCATAACCGGTGTGTCAAAAAGATGGTTATTCCCTTGACACCG